CAATTACGTGGAAAGATGAAAGAACCCTGAGCTACATCTAACAATGCAACCTCGGCATATGTAAAGCAAAACTCAGCAGATTTTAAAGGAAAAGACAATTCATGTTGGTGGTAGATTTTTATTATTAACCCCTTGGCAATTGGTAGTGAGGGACTGAAGACAAGATTAATGGACATAGATAGGGGATCCATAGATAGACATATAAATTCATATTAGTGGTAGATTTTTAATATTAATCCCTTGGCAACTGATAGTAAGGGCTTGAATGAAAGATTAATGGATGCAGATAGGGTATCCATAGATAGCGATAGACTAATAACTATCATAAAGCAAACACCAGTTCACAGCACAACATATTTCCTGACCACAACTCCATAAATCAGAAATTAGTAACAGCACAACAAATAACTCTAAGGAGCATTCTTCCCACCACCCTGGTCCCAGAGCCATGGAAACCTCAAATAAGACAGAGACTCTACTAGTTACAATACTGTCGGCCAATGTCCAGGGTTTCTCATTGGCTAGTTCTCTGAGTATTAACGCATGACTACTAATATATATATATATATATTTCTATAAGGACTTATCTTTCCAAGGACACTATCCTGACGTGTCTTATCTTCCCAGGATCACATGGCGACTCTCCACTCTTGACTACATTTCCCAGAATCCTCCTGGACTCCTAGTCCCACCTATCTTGCTCCCCTATTGGCCAACAGTGCTTTATTTATCAACCAGTAGGACAAACATATACACAGATGGACTTCCCCCATCAAGTAACAGCCCATTCAGTTGAAAAAAATTTAAACACAGTTATTAAAAGTATAAGGCTCATGTAAACCTCATAATCAGACAAAAAAATAGAATGGAATTACGACAGTGAGTGGACAAAGCTATACAGAAGGCTAAAACCGGGAGGGAAACACATAGCTGTACCTGCATATCTTATTGTTTGAGAAGGAAGAGGAAAGGCTGCTAAAAATTCCAAATGAAGATGAAAAGGTAAACACTGAGTAAGCAAATATACCTTAAATCTAGGAAGGAAGTGCATTGATTTCACCTTCAGAAAGAAACATCTTCATGTCAGGCCAGTGGCTTGGTGGATAAGAGCGCCTGCTGCCAAACCTAATGGCCCGAGTTCATTCCCTGGGTCCCACATGGTGGAGGAAGAGAACGGACCCCACAGATTGTATTCTGGCCTCTGCATGCATGACTTGTCTGCACGTGTGCATCCCCAGTAGATAACTGGATAAAAAATAATATTTAAAATTTTAATAAAAGTCTTCAGTGTCTGCAATGTTTTATTTCTTTGAACAAAAATGTGTAATTTGTACCCATAAATTATAACACAATTTTTATTGAACTATTAGCTCACATGCCATATAATTTGGTAATATCAAATGGGCAATCCACGGATGCTTTAGCATATTTGCCAAGTTGTACAACCATCATATAGTCTCTTTCAGGAAATTCTGTCTGTCAGTGATCAGGCATCTGTACTGGTCTGCCCTTGGGCTTCTGACAGGACACGCCCTCAGCTGCAGCCACTAAGAGCACCACCTGTGCACATTCACTGTGTTCCCTTTTAAAAGGACCCTGCCCACCTCCCTTCTCTCTCTCTCTCTCTCTCTCTCTCTCTCTCTCTCTCTCTCTCTCTCTCTCTCTCTCTCTCTCTCTCTTTCTCTCTCTCTCTCTGTGTGTGTGTGTGTGTGTCTTCCCCTCCCCTTCCTCCCTTCCTCTCTGTCTGTTCCTTTCTCTCTCTGCTTCTCTGCCTGTCTCTGTCTCCTGCCCCTCTGCCTCTCTTTTCTCTTCTGCTGATCCTGTCCCCAGAGGGCTGTCTCCTCCTCCCCTCCCCCTTCCCTCCCCCTCCCCCTTCTCCTTTCCCCTAATTAAAAAAAAAAACCTTCAAGTGAGCTCTGTGGAATAGTGTCTTTCTCTCGCCAGCGCCATTTTTTAAATTACAACACTATCCCCTTACAAAAAGCCCCTCCCATTGTCACTCAAACTGGATTCTTCCCATGTAGAACACACTTTTAAAAATTCACCCGCTTTACACCGTTTCGGTAGAGCCTTTTTATGATAAAGCTTCGCAATATCTCATTGTATGATCACGCCGCGTCTTTGTTCACTCACTCATCAGTAAGCAAAACCTGAGTCATTTCCACTTCTGGCGATTGTGAATCATGATACTGTGGGCATTTCTACAAGCTTTTTGAGTAAGCATGTTTCTACACTTCTCTTACTGTAAGAAATGGAAAAGCCATGCTTTTTAAAAGTTGTCAAAGTGTGTTCCAAAGTAGTTGTATCATTTTGCCTTGCTACCGGTAGTATGTAAAGGTTCTCGTTTACCCCATCCTTGTTAACACTTTTGAGTTATTGCCCCATTTTCGTTTGTAGCCATCTTGCTTGGTGTGTGGTGGTATAGCATTTGTGGTTTTGGTTTGTCGTCGTCTTTGGAAGAACCTACTCCAATCTCGTGCGTTTTATGGCCTCATTGTTGGATTATAGGGGTTTTTAAATGCACCATCCTGTGTATCAAGTCCTACCTAGATAAGGATTTATAAATACACCCCCCCCACTTTGGTTGTTTGCCTCTTCGGTGTGTGGATACACTTACCTGAGGAACGGGAGGTTTTGATTTGAGGGCTGGGCGTCTAGCTTTGAAGCAGTGTTTGCCTAGCAGATGAACAAAAACAGGGAGGTCACCAGCACCACAAAAAAACAACAACAAAAAGTTTCTATCTTGATGAAGTCCAACTTGTGTACTTTCTGTATTTTATTGTATAAGACTTTGGTGTCACATCCAAGAAACTCTTGCCAAATCTGGTCACCAATTTTAAAACTCCCAACCCGATGTCTTCTGAATGGTTCATTAAGTGATTTAAAGGATTTTTGGAGTTGGCTATTTCTCTTCAGCAATTTACTTTTATAGCTATGGAAGATTTTCATAATTATACGTTCAATGCCAGCTTTCTTTTGATTCTTTGTTTTCCTAATTATTGCCAAATGCATTAGATTATAAGTTTTAAAAAAGCATGGGAATAGTACATTGTATTGTGATACAAGCATTCCCCGTGAGCCATAGTGAGCAAAATTACTGCCAAGTGCCTTTATTAGGAACAAAATCTTAACTGATTAGAGACCGTATTATATATCAACTGTAAAATGAGTTTTCAACTTCCCTGCTTCATTTTTTAAGAACAATTTTTTTTTACTTTGGCTTGGGTAATAGAACTCTAAAACCTCAAAGACACTTTGCATCTGTAAAGGAGGTCTTGTGCCTGTGATGTCCACTTGAAATTCAAGTAGCTCTTTGGAATTTGAAGCTAGCTGGACATTACATTCTGTAGAATAAGAGAAGCTCTCTGTCTGTACCATTGCTAGTTTATATTTAACAAATTTTATGCATTTGTGCCTGGATGAGAGTATCAAGTACATTCTGTGTGTGTGTGTGTGCACACATGTGCACGCACATGCGTATTAGTGTCCACGTAGCGCATGCACACTTACATGTTTGTGTGCAAATACACATGTATATGTGTGTGTGTGCACATGAAGGCCAGAGGTTGACCTTCGGTGTCTTCTGAATGGCATTGTGTGTGTGTGTGAGTATGTGTGGGTGTATGTAGCATGTGCACATTTACATGTTTGTGTGCAAATACACATGTATATGTGTGTATGTGCACATGGAGGCCAGAGGTTGACCTTAGGTGTCTTCTCAATGGCATTGTGTGTGTGTGCGTGTGCAGGAGCACAAGTGCCTCTGTGCATGTTTAGAAGACAGAGGGTAACTTTGGGGAGTTGGTTCTTGCCTTCACCCATACTGAAGCAGGGTCTCAGATCTTGTTGATTCTGCCTTGTAGCTCACTCTAGATTCGCTGGCCTATGAGCTTCTGATCAATTCTCCTGTCTCCACTTCTCATCTCAGGATAGGAGTCCTGGAAGTACAAACACAAACCTCCACATCTGGGTTTTATGTCTGTGTGTGTGTGTGTGTGTGTGTGTGTGTGTGTGTGTGTGTGTGTGTGTGTTTCCAGAACATGAACTCACATCATCATATGTGAATCGTTAGTACTTAACTTCACGGAGCCCTCCCCCTGACCCTCCTCCACCTTATTTCTTTGTGAGAGAGTCTCTTACTGAACCTGGGGTTTACCTGGACTGGCTGGACTGGCTGGCCAGTGAGTTCCAGGATCCACCCATCTTTAACCCCCAGTCGGGGGGGGGGTTACAGACATGCACTACTACCCTAACTTCCATGTGGGTGTTGGGGGCAGAACTCAAGTCCTCACATTACACACCGATTACTGTACCCATGGAGCCATCTCAACATCCCACAAAGAATCTTTTAAAGTCATCGAACAACTCGTAATCTAATTTGTGATAAACTTTAATGTGAGCAACAGGAAGAACTTCTTTTTTTAACCTTTACGGCTCTTACCTAAACTGTTATATTCTTTTCAAGTATTTACTAGTCCCTCAACTTTGAGTAGTAGATTGTTTAGAATACTATGTGTAATTTTATTCACTGTCTTGTGTGTGTGTGTGTGTTGTATATGTGATGTGTATACATGTGCATGTGCGTGGGCAGCCTGTGTGTGTGTGTGTGTGTGTGTGTGTGTGTGTGTGTGTGTGTGTGTGTGGAAGTCAGAGGATCAACTTTTAGGAGTCGGGTCTCTCTTTTCTCTGTGGATCCTCTGGATCAAACCCATACGGTAGAGATGTGTGGTGCGTGCCCTTACCCAGTGAGCCATCATCTCCTTGGCCCTGACTTGAGTTATTTCCAAAAACCAATATTTGTTTACCTTCTCACTTTAATAACCTATTATTCCCAGGGTAGGTTTGGAAAATACAAGCGAAGCAAAACTGGGCAGATGAGTAAATCAGTTAATACAACAGCATACCACATCCCCCACCCCCACCGCCGCCGCCCACCACCGCCAAATATCTTACAAGTATTACCCCTAAAGCCATTTAAAAAAAAGTATTTCCTTTTACAGGTTCACCTTTTTGGAGTTTTGCTGTCTATTTTAGGAAACCTGGTCATCAGTATTTCCCTAAATATCCAGGTAAGAAAAGCTCTACTATGACTGCAGCTTGATCTGGGAATGTAGTGTACCTGTCACAGGTAGTCATTTCTGCCTCTGCTATGCTCTTGCATCCAGAAGAAGAAGGAGCAGGGGGGGAGAAGGAGGAGGAGGAGGGAGAAGAGGAGGAGGAGGAGGAGGGAGAAGAGGAGGAGGAGGGAGAAGAGGAGGAGGAGGACGAGGAGGAGGAGGAGATGAAGAAGAAGAAGAAGAAGAAGAAGAAGAAGAAGAAGAAGAAGAAGAAGAAGAAGAAGAAGAAGAAGAAGAAGAAGAAGAAGAAGAGGAAGAGGTTACATTTTGCCCTCTGTGTAGACTAACGGTCTTGCAGAATGTTGGGTATACAGTAAGAACTCCAACTGAATTAGGAACCTGACAGAACTGCTGTTGCTAAACAGAAAACTGAATGAAATCTAAAATTTTAAACCAAGCCATGAATTCAATCTAAATTTTAAATCATTTAGTAAGTCATTTTGAAACAGAATCAAACCAAACTAGTTTCTAAAACTTCTGAATCAAAATAGGTCTGGATATCAAAATATCTCCTTGGACGTTGTATCATTCTGCGCATGAAAGTTTACTAGACCATAGCCTAATATAATTGTTAGTAATTTCTAAGAAATGAACCTATTCCAGAAACATCCGGAAATAGATCATGTCTTATTTTACTGAGGTCCATCACTGTGACAAAGCACCAGAGGAAAATCTACTGGTCAAGGAAAAGATTCGTTTTGACTCGAGTCATGGTGTGCTTGGCCTGTGGCCAGCAGGCCTATTCACCTACCGTGACCAGGAAGCAGGGTGGGGTGGAGGGGACAATAGGAAAAGTTACAATAACCCCATTAAGGACACACCCCCGGTACTTAACTTCCTTCACATAGGATCCTAGTGACACACAGGCCTTTAATACATGAACCATCGTGGGGCATATTAGACCCGATAGCATTTATTAAAAAAGAGCTTTCAGAGCCGGGCAGTGGTGGCGCACACCTTTAATCCCAGAACTTGGGAGGCAGAGGCAGGCGGATCTCTGTGAGTTCGAGGCCAGGCTGGACCGATAGCCTCCAAAACAATACAGAGAAACCCTGTCTCGAAAAACAAAACAAAACAAAAAAGAACTTTCAGGGCAGGAAGATGGGCTCAGTGGGTATCATCTGCCTCTAAGCCCAATAGCCGGACTTCAACCCCTAGGACCAACATGGTAGAAGGGGTGAACCAGCCTCCCAAACTGTGTTCTGACCTCTACATGCAACCTGTGGCACGCTAATTCACAATTGAGGTGGTTTGTTTGTTTGTTTATGTTCCCTGTTTCCTTCTAGACCTCTTAATTATGGTTTAAGATGGCCTGGGCCAGTCTACTCGTCTTTGAAGGAAATATGCTCAGTTATCATAAAACCGAGGGAAAGCATACGTAATGAGTTTCTCGGGATTCATACGCTCGCTTCCTTTTTGCAGAGCTGGGCTGAAACCCAGGGCCTTGGGCAGGCTGGTGAAGTTCGCCGCCACTGAGAAATGTGCCTGTAGTGCATTGCACTTTTAATTTAAACGCAAAGATGTATTCAGACCATCTGTGAAAGGAGCCTGCCTGCCACAATTCCCTGTGGCAGCTTGCATTCTGCCCTGCTGTATCGATTGTGGTAGATGCTTCAACCGGTACAACTGAATCCCTTCTAAAAACACTCCCTTTAATACTTCACTGCCTTTATCTTGTTAACGTCTAAAAATAAACTGTTTTGGCGCAGTGTTCCGAAGAGCTCCTCACCTTTATAAGTACCTTTAGATTGTAATGAAGGTACACATTTTACAGAGTTGTGGGGGGAGGGGAAAAGCAGTGGGCTTATACACACTAAAAAAAGACCCTCTACACTATAGAATGCTATAAAAACATTTGGGACAAACAGAAAGCCGTAATAGTCTGCAAACAGATTAGAAAGCTCTGGTGTAAAGTGACATGTAAACTTTCAAAGCAAGTGAGACTTGGTTGCACATGCCTTTATTCCTAGCACGAAGGAGGTAGAGGCAGAGGGATCGCCTTGAGTTTGAGGCCTGCCTGGTCTACACAGAGAGCGCCAGGCCAACCAGGGATACACAGTGAGAACCTGCCCCCCAAAAAAATAATATAAAATTTGACAGCAAGTTTTAATCGGGTGGAAATGTTTTCTATTTACTTCCTGATTTGCTTCCAGAAATACTCTCATCTTCACTCGGCCCAGAAAGAGCTCGCAAAGCCGTACTTTAAGAGCGTGCTTTGGTGGAGCGGAACCCTGCTGATGGCCGTAGGGGAGACGGGCAATTTCGCAGCCTACGGAGTCGCCCCCATCACTTTGATCGCTCCGTTGGGATGTATGTCGGTTACAGGTGGGCCATCTACCCCTATTTCGGCGATTAAGACGTTCGTAAATTAGAGTAATCAGTAAAAGGTGTAACACAGAATGGAGATGGAGGTCTCTGTCCCGCTTGGTCCCACAGACGCTTTGCCCCAAATAAACATACACACGCTGTATTAATGATGAAATTGTTTGGCCGATGGCTAGGGCTTCTTATTGGCTAGCTCTGCCTTACTTATTAACCCATCTTTATTAGTCTATGCCACGAGGCTGTGGTTTACCAGTAACCCAGGATGTTACTCCTTGGGCAGCATGGCGTCTCTAGGCTGCCTCTCTCTGCCTTCCTCTTCCCCAGCTTTCCCCTTGTCTGGTAGCCCCGCCTATGTTTCCTACCTGGCCAATCAGCGTTTTACTCATCAACCAATAAGAGAAGCATATATACAGAAGGACGCACCCCCCCTCAACAGAAGAGCGTCTTACTCTGTTAACAGAGGATCACAGCTCTCATCTGCCCTCTCCTGTGCCTCCACACCGGCCACATGGAAACATGCGTTCTGTGGCTGTCCCGTTGACACTTCAAGGCCATATTCTCAACATCTGAGTCTTATTAAGTTAAAAGTCACTCTAAGTGCTAAGCTGTGTTTTTTTTGATCACTGATCTATTATCTAAAAATACTCATATGCAGTTATTTTTATGTTGAACTGACAACACATGTAGCTGTAAAACTGTTGTCTGATCCTGAATCACAGTTTGTACTGTCTTTGGCATTAAAAATTAAATATGAATTATTCTGCATTATCATGAGAATGTACAGTTTTGTAGGAATGTCACAATTATCCACTTCCAAAGTCCATATGACTAAGTACATTTAGAGAAGAATAAAGTGAGGTTTTGTTTTTTTTAAGGAGCAAAAATCCCTGCTAACAAGGAGGATAAATTCTACAAGCCTTGTTAAAAACTAATTTTAAAAAAATCTTTTGAGTTTTTTTTTCTTTATCTGCTGCTATGGAAACCGCATATTTCTAAATCTCTGTGAATTTAGGACCTTCATTGAAATAGAAACAACCTGGTAGTTGTTGTGAATGACGGCACCGAGCACATCGTGTGACCACATGGCCCGAGTTTCACATTTCTCCAAAATATGGCGTGGCACTCTCGAGGACTTGCAGCTTAAAATGAAAGAATGTATATACGGAGAGAATTCCCTTTTATTTCAAAGCCTCTCCTTTCCCTAGCTTTTCAAGTTTTTAAGATCATTATAATAGATATTTTATAAGGAATACCTATTTCGCTTTCTGGAAATGGTTGAAGCTACATATTGAGGCCTGGGGAGACGGCCTCATGGGCAGAATGCCTGCCTCACAAGTTTGAGAAACTGCATTTGGATCCCCAGAACCCGTGGGAAAGCCAGGCGGAGTAGCTCTTGCCTGTAAACTCAAAACAGCAGTTGGGACAGAGAGAGGTGAATCCCAGGGACTCACTGGCTGGGCAGTCTAGCAGAAACCATGAGCTCCAGGTCTAGCGAGGGACTTCGTTTGAAGAGAATAGGGTGGACAGCAATAGAGGAAGACACCTCAGGCCTCTCCACGTGTACACACAGGGTAGCACCCACACACGTTTACACACACGCATGCAACATTAACTACATACACATACCACAAAATCCACATACTGATACAAAATTTATAGAGTCAATCACCATTTTTAACATCCCAATGAAGTAAGTAGGGTATGTGTTCTATTTTGTTACATGTGATAAATCCACAGGTATTCTAGATGTTTTTCTTCTCAATATATGAGACACAACAGCTAGGATTTTTTCATTGGGCTGTCGACATGAGACAGAGGGCCTTTCTGGTTTTCTGTTCTCTTCGGGTTACGCATTTCTCCACCTTTGCTCTGAGGAAGGGGTGTGTGGGCAGCACCAGTGGCCACCCAGAGGAGGGCCGCGCGCACCAAATTGCGCTGACTCTGTTTACCTCGCGTTCTCCTAGCTCTTAGAAAAACAATAGTATAGAGTAGCTAAGATGAGGATTCCCATTGCCGGAGGTGACCGTCAATGAAGCCGTCCAGTGAATCTGCTTGTCATTACGCTTGCTCGAGGCTCTCACTAGTAACCAGGAACTTCCGTTTTCCACCCTGCCACCCTTGAGAACTGTGTCCCCCTTCCCAAGTCCCCCGCTCTACCTTGGTCCATCCCTCTGCCTGGTGGTAGGAGCTTTTCACGGTGACGTAAACCATCGTTCTTTGCGTGCTTTCGGCCTCAGTTAATGTTCCTCCTGGGGAACGATTTAGCTGCCTCCTTTCTGACCATCTAAAACTATCCGGAGACTCCTCCCAACGCCCTCCTGGCGCAGCTGGGCCCTGGCAGGCAGAAGCACGCGCACAGGCGCACAAGGCGCCTTGCTGGTGTCATTGTGCCGAGCAAGTATTTGGCGGAGACAAGGGAGAGAAAGAAGCACGACTGCCCCTGCACTTTGGGAAGAGGGAGAAATGAAGAGAAGGGGATGGGGACAGGCTGATGGTGGTGGCCTGCCACACTGCCACCCGGAGCCATGGTGATGTCCTGGCCCAGACGTCTCCCAAGGGCCATGTCTGGGTCCGTGATCCGCCCATAGCCAGGGTCCCTGTCGATGTCCATGGCTCCTGTTACCACGGAAGGCTGTGCGGATACCCAGGGTCTGGGCCGCCACCTAAGGCTGTGTTGGTGTCCTAGGGTCAGGCTCCCACTGCGGCCATGCTGACCTGAGTGGCTGACACTGCCACCCAGAGCTATAGTGATGTCCAGTCCTAGGCTGCTGCTGCCTGGGTTCATAGTCCTCCTACAGCCTGGTACCCCTGGGGACCACGTGTGTTCAAGTCAGAAGGTCAGTGCTGAGCTGGCCCTGCTCCTCCTCCTCAGTGGCCCTACTCCTAGGGCCTGCTCCACACATGAAAGCTGGCCCAGTGGTTTAAGCACTGAAGAGTCAGTCGAGCCCCGTCATGGGAGAGTTGGCCCTGCAAAAAGGAGAGCTAGCCCCACCCCTCACTGTGAGCCCTATTGCTCTGGGCACAGGAGAGCTGGCTCCGCCCCTCATTTGGAGGCCTGAGCTGACCAACTCTGCTAAATCACCCAGGGTCCCACGTCCAGGACTTTGAACTGGCCCACCCCAACGTGCACCCCATCCTTGACGTACTAAGAGCACATGAAGGGGTGGCGCACGCCTTTAAGCCCAGAGGCAGAGGCAGGCGGGTCTCTGTGAGTTTGAGGCCAGCCTGGTCTACAGAGCGAGTTCCAGGACAGCCTCCAAAGCCACAGAGAAACCCTGTCTCAAAAAAGCAAAACAAAACAAAAAAAGAGCACATGAAGTGACTGGTCCTGTGGAACCCTAGCCACAGGATGGATCTCCATGACTCAGGGCAGCAGCAGGATCTGAGAGGAGTTTCCGTGAGGGTTCAGTATTGATGATGTACCAGCCAGAGGCCTTGAGTCAGACCAACAACCCATTGCACAACGAACGTTTGCAAATGAAGCTGTTTGGATGAAGGGGCCTACTGTGTGACACACAGCAGCTCCCAAGGACACTATTACAAACAGATGGGTGACAGAGGGGTAGGGAAAAGCAGAGGCGTGAAGTGGTTTTTTGTTTGTTTTCTTTTTTTCTTGGGGGGAGGGTTGCTGTAAGAGTGAAGGTAGATATGGAGGGACTAGGATATGGGGGGATTGCGGTATAGGATGTGAAATTCCCAAAGAATCAGTAAAAAGTCACACTTTAAAAAAAAAGCTATCCAAAGGAATGTGTTTATAGCCTCAGGTACAACAACCATTTCCTCCCCTTCAGCCTTTATACAGGACACTATTGGCTCACAAACAATAACTCATAAACTCCCCTGGCTCTCTAGAGCGGCAGGTGGAGTGTGTGGATGGTGGAGGCTGACAGGGAAGCAAGATTTTCCCGCTGAATAACAGCCAAAGGGCCATGGAAAGAGGAAACAGTTCTCAAAACAGATGACCGGGTCTGCAGGCAGCCAAGAAGGCCCTGTTGATATTTTCTCACCTTTTCTCGTTGGCAACTTTAAGAAGGAAATGAAACTTCCCTTTGAATTTGAAAAAAAAATAATGCATGCTATAATTTTGCATGGGTATTGCAGGGTTTATGATTTTTCTTATGTCTTTTGCTTTTAAGTGGTGTGTGTGTGTGTGTCTGTGTGTGTGTGTGTGTGGTGTTTGGCATGATTGTGCATTTGGAATCACATCCCTGGAGGGCAAGAACTGACTCCTCTAGGCCTTAATATACTACTACTATTACTTAGGCAATAGAAAGTTTTAGAAAGAACTCCATAATCACAGAGGTATCTGCAGTTTGGGGTTTGAGCCACTGTGTGTCTTCAGAGGAAGAACATAAACACGTCTCCAGGACCCAGCGGCCACGGTCACTTTTACACGGAGAACCCTTAGATACAGTCGTTTCTGCAGAAAACCCTTCAGGTGACGCGCAGGGACACCCCAAGCCTTCTAACTACCCGGCCTGAAGAGTTCTCCCCATGCTAGGCAGGAGAGATTAGCAGTGTCACGTTCAGGCTCAATCGACAAGTTCCTAAAGCCCATTCTGACCAAAAATGGTGGTCGAGCTGCAGTGCAGTTAACTCTAGGTGTTGATCCGTTCTTCGTTTCTCTTAGGAGGCTCATGGACTTCTAATTTTACAGATCCTAGTCTGACTAGTGCTCCAGTAAACCAGCCAGCAGGACAGCTCTGGAGACACGCTGCCTGGTTGGCTGTCACTCCTGCCCCTATCCAGCTCTGCCCAGTTCTACATCCTCATGCATGTAGCTTAAACCATTTTTATGCCTCAGATCACTAATCTGTGAAATGGCGGTAAGAATAGTTGCTATTTCAGCGTCGAATGTGAAGACCCAAGCCAGCTCAGGCACGTAAGAAGGCTGTTTGACATGCTATTGTCTGTCGGCGTGCGTATAATTATCGTTCCGCAGAAACAACGTACAGCATTCTTTATAATGGAGCTTGTTCCTTGCTCTAAAATGGATGAGC